CTGCTTTTATACTAAAGAGAGAGAAAAATAAATAAATAAAAAGTAGGTACTCCCTTTTCTTCTTTTTTTCACTTCGAGCTCAACACCCACCTCCCCCTACCTTCTCCCCGTTCCGATTACGTATCTCGTAATCGTCGCAGAGAGGTCGAAGGAGACATAGCAAGAAAAAGAGAGAGAGAGAGAGAGAGAGAGAGAGAGAGAGAGAGAGAGAGAGAGAGAGAGAGAGAGAGTCTTCTAATGGACAAGATGCCAACGCAGTCAAACCTGCGAAAGGATGGGTTTGCAGTGACGTCATCATCATTTACACGCGCGAGAGAGCGGAGTAATTAGTGAAATCATTTTCCTTTTCTGATTTTTTTTCTTTTCCTTTTCGCTGTTCAAGTCAATTTTACGCTTGATTGGTCGAGAGAGAGAGAGAGAGAGAGAGAGAGAGAGAGAGAGAGAGAGAGAGAGACACACACACACACACACACACACACAGAGTTTCATCGATAGGATGAGCAACGCACCGGCCAACACCAGAGTCTCCAATCACGCGTCGTTCTTGATAGCAACCTGTAACGATTGTTTCAGCCTTGTTGCGGAAAATAGAATGGAACGCGAATGAATGAAAACTACCCTTCGGTCATTGTACCTGTATTTGACGCATCTTTCAGTCCAAATATAACTAGAATGACCGTACGTTGTATTCGGGGGAGGAAGGGTAGGCAAATTCGACCGAAGTGGGTGGGCTGGGCATGAGTGAGGCTGTGGGTCCACACCGTTTCATATTTGAATTTCAAGGACCTGCGCCCCCCACGCCGTTTCACAATATTTTTGACCACGGCCACCTACTGATTCCCAGGAAAATGCCATGGGCAAATACCGGTCCTGCATATGCTTCAAGTGCGCCCCCCCCCCTAAATGCCACTGCCTTTCATTTTACCAGCCTTTGAACGACCAATGGGCCCGAATGAACGACCGGTATAACGAACGACGACGAAAATGTCTCAGGGGGGGAAAACGCAACCCTGATGGGCTGCGAACACCACCCTTCCAACTACCACACCGTTTGGTGACGACGACGAAAAATGTTCCCAGGGCATAAAAAACGCAATGTTCCCAGGGCATAAAACGCACCCCTGACGGGCTGCGAATTTGGTGCGGCTCCCTCATGGTAAGTCAATCCTGAAGTCTCCCCCAGGCTACACCTGGCGTCCCGCAACCATGCGGGCTCATCACTGTCTTGAGGCCTCTTACTGGTACCATGGGCTGGACTCAGGGAGGGGAGAGGCATGGTGCACGTCCGTTTGGCGTTGTCTTGGTGCGAATTTCCTGAAGTCTCCCCCAGTCTACCTGTGGACATCTGCTGGCTTCCCGCCTGGCGTCCGCAACCATCCTGGCTGATTGTTGCCTTGAGGGGGTGTAAGTCGATTAGGGTTTGAGAAGGGGTCCTGCTGGTGCGGGTGAGTTTTGTGCTGTAGTAAGCGTGTTTTATCCCTCATCCTTCGCCCGTGAAGGGTAGAGGCTGGTTGGGGACGTATTGGAAGGGAACGAGGTCGTTTTTTTCGCGCGCCTTCCTCGTTCATTCGGTCATCTTTCACGTGTCATGTGCTACTGTGGGCAGCACTTTCGTGGTTGTTCGGTGTTTTTTGACTCTCTTTCCAATCTTGAGCTTTCTTGTGCTGCATGTGGCCTTCCTGTCGGGCCCTGGGCCCGGGTGTCGTCAGCAGCCTTTGCGCGGTCACCTCACAGCAACCACTTCTCTCTTGACTCTCGACTTGTTTTTGCTCTTCCCGTTGCTTGCGGCGCGAGCGGGCCGTAGAGCGCCACGCTTGTGATTGTTGCCGCGTTTGCGGCGTCTCTCGTTCTCGCGCCTCTGAGCGTGCGCGAGAAGCAGGGACGGCGACGACGACGACGACGACGAAAGAAGAGGCGGGGGTTTCGCGTCAATTCTTGAAGTCGTCTGTAGGTTACCCACTCCCCATCATCGCGTTGGTGAAACTGAGCGGTTGTTGACCCGCTTGTGCCGGACTTGGCGTCTTTTTCACGGGGGAAATCGATTCCTCTACTCTATCTGTGTCGTGACTCTGCTGTCCTGTCGGCTGCAATGGACACCGAACAAGGGTGCGTAACCTGCTGCTTTTCTTTTCTTGTCCCCTCTTGTTGTTGCATGTCCGTGTCTACTGGGCTGTCTCCCCGTCTCTTCGTTGGTATTTGTGAACTGAGGTGCTGACGCGTGTGTACTGGGTTATTGGCGTAATGCCTGTATGATTGTTTTGGCGGCTTGGAAAGCCACTTTCGGTCCTGAGCGGGTGCGCCATGCTCTCGTGCATACATATGCTTGTACGTGAATCGGTTGTTCGGTGTGGGGGTGAGCAATGCTTCGTCTGAAGGACCTTTGATTGATTCTCTGTCTAGTCGACAATGCTTGATTGATTGACTCGTGCCGTTCTCGCTCTTTCTGTGCAGGAAACTTTTCATTGGCGGGATAGCATGGGACACGACAGAGGGTTAGTACACGAATGACGTGGGCCCGTGCGGAGCTGAACTGTCGTTTATGTTTATGCTGCGTGAAAGAAATCGCTCTTTTTGGGGCAGCCCCAAGGTTGCTGATTGGTAATGTTGGCGCGAGGTCGCGGGTCGTTGTGGCGGGAGTATTTTCGGAAAGGGCGGGTCGTGATTCAGTTTGCGTGGTTCAGTTTGGAAGGAAGATTGCGACTGAGGTTAGGCCGGCGGTATGGGAAATGGCAGTGGTAAAGGCGGGGGGAATGAAGGGTTGGAGTGTTGGGTGGGCAACGCGGTTGACGGGAGAGAGCCATTTGGAAAAAGTGGATTTGGGGAAAGGAAGGGTAAGAAGAGTGAGTGGTACAGGAAATTTCTGTTTATTATCGTCTGACCGTATGGAATCATCTTGGTGAGGGCGAAGATGCTGTCGGACGAGTGGCGAAGAGAGCTGCTGTTGTGATATCGCTTTTGTTCGGGGAGTCGTCTCTTACGAGGTGCGGGTGCTTGAGTGCGTGTTTCCTTCCGAGCATCGAGCAGCGAAGCGGGCAGTGCAAGAACAGAGAATGTCAGGTGCAGCAGAAGGGGGGCGAGTGGAAGAGGAAGGAAACGAGAGCGAGCGAGCGAGCGAGAGAAAGAGAAAGAGAGAGGGGGCAGGGAGGGGGAGAGAGAGAGAGAGAGAGTCTTCGCGGAGCTCATGAGTAAAGGAATTGAAATGGAAGGAAGCTTGAGACCGATGGCGGGGAATTATCGCGGCAGAGTGAATGACAAACGCGGAAGAAGAAATGGAGGGTGGAGAGAAGTGGATGGGAAGGCTCGCGAATCGGTCTATTTGATTGGAGTACTGGGTTGGTTGTTATATGGGGTATGTTGGCATTGGAGGTTGAAAGAGAGGAAGAGCACACGAAGAAATTAAGACACTGTGGAGATGGTCTCGAGAGCGTTGGCTTGAAACGTTTGGGAAGGGTCTGATTCGCTGCATCGTCTGTTTCTCATTTCGCGTGATTTGTTTCTTTTTTGGTTGTTCGCTGCAGAGAAATTGAGGACGTATTTCGAGAGATACGGTGAGATCATTGACACAGTGATCATGAAGGACAACCAAACGGGCCGAGCTCGTGGCTTCGGGTTTGTTGTCTTCTCTGACCCAGCAGTTGCTGATCGTGTCGCGCAGGAGAGCCATACGATCGAAGGCAGGCAGGTAAGAGGCAATCAGTCAGTGTGATTCCCAGCGTTGTTGCGCGTAACGTGGTGCTGGAACTGATAAATCGTTGGGAAATGGATGGTTGATGTTTTTGATGAATGAAGGATGGTTTGTTACCTGTGAATGTGATGAAGAGAGGCTTGTTGGAGCTGTGAATGAAGATTGTGCTGGCGGATTGATGAGCTGATGATACAAAATGGTGTTAGCATTTGTCGAGTATTCTGTTTTTCCTCGTTTGCTGAAAATGTTATATGAGGAATCCGAAGTAGTTAGTGCAATGGTTTGTGTGACAAGTCCTTTCTGGTTGACCGATTGAAAGGGCCTGATTGATTAATGAGGTGATGTGAGTGATGATAAATATATATATACATGAGGTATGACTTCTCTGATGGTGCCACGTGCTTCCCTGCCCGCCGCTGGAAGTGTTTCTGCGGGCCGTTCCTAGCTTAACTAGTTAGTTTGTGTCTGAAGGTGGAAGCGAAAAAAGCCGTACCGAGGGACGAGCAGCAGAATATGCATAGGAGCAGCAGCAGCGTTCCTGGGCCAGCCAGTCAGACTAGGACAAAGAAGATTTTTGTCGGTGGCTTAGCTTCTTCGGTGACCGAAGGTAGATACGACATCAAGCTCTTAAGCACTCTGTTCTTTTCTCAACTGAATCGTCTTTGGTTCTGTTCTTTACTCGGTGTATGCCAATTTGCCCGCATGCCCTCTTTTTTTTAATTTTTATGTTTCTAATGTCCTCTCTTTCGTTCCTAATCGCCGTCCTCTCGTTGGTGTCCTGATGCTTCTGGTTTCATTAACGCTTCCATGATGTTTTCACGCCCACTTCGTGTTTTCTTGCTATTGCGTCTGTTATCATTTTCTTCCCGTTGTCTTGTTTGTCTCCTTTTGTTCCCCCTTCCCTGTCCCCATGTTTCGTAAGCCGTCTGGTTGTTGTTGTCCCTCTCCCGCACCCCACTCGTTCCAGTGGTTTTTATGTTCCTGATGTGGTCTTCTCTTCGCCCGTTCCGATGGGTTCATGATTTGTTGTGTTGTAAATCTTAAGGCGCTGTTTTTCATGAACGCTTCGTTCGAAAGATCTTTTCACGCCCTCACTTGTTTTCTTGTTGTTGCTTGTGTCATGATTCCTCCCCCCCCCCCCCCCCCCCCCCCCGCTCTCCGCCTCCTATTGCCCCCATCCTTGACCCCATGTTTCGCACGCGTTCTGGTGCCGGTTGACCCCCAAATTCGAAGTTTTTGTCCTTGTCTTACTATGTCTTTTGCATTTTTGTACGCTGTCAGAAGCTCTCTCGTCGGTCCGGTTCTCGTGTTTGTTTTGGGTTCCTCGTGAATTGCGGGATCTTCTTTCCGTTTGTTGGAAGTCGTCTTTTGTGGTCCCCGACGGGCTCTGTGCGTTTTCAATGGATTTCTGTGCATTACCGTGCTGTGCGGGCCCTCGCCTCCCTGTTTTTCTGAGTGTTATCTTTGCTGCTCGCCCGTTCGATGCTCGACCGCTCTGACCTAAGGCGACCGGTGATTATCGGATGGGATGTGGCATTCTGTCACGTGTCGAATGCAGTCGATTAATTTCTGTTCTTCATCGGTGCTTTCACGTTTGTTTTCTCACGTGTGCTGCACCCGGCGGTGCAGCTTCAAGGTAAATTGTCTATCGAGGTTGGGTGTATGAGCGGGGTGTGAGTGTGTAGGGAAGTATGAATTGTCATGTACCCTTGGCTTTGGATGGTACGGTACCTCTTCGTTTGTGTGGAGTCGGCCCTATTTTTTTCTCTCGGCGGCTTGGCGGGTATGAAGCTGGTGAACCAGTTCTGTTTTTCTTTTTTGTATTTGGCTCCCTCTCTGAGTTTTCATGTCTTCGGGTAATGATTATTTGTGCGTGTTGTGTTATGCTTATTTGTTGGGGGTGTGACTTAATGACAAGTATGATTGGTCGATTGATTAGAAAACACTCGATGGTGTTTGCAGAACCTCCGGACGCCACGCAATCAAGCAAGCAACCAATGAATCAATCGACCAATCACGTCTTGTTTGTCCTGCCCTTTTACGATTAACATATGATACGGGATGATTTGTGATTTTTATTGCTGTGCTTCCATCCTCGCTGCGCGAACCACGAGCGCGACCATGACCTAGTCGGAACACTCAGTGCTGTGAGTGGAACTTCTCGAAAAACGATTATGAGAGGGGAGTTCTCCCTGTTCTCCTGTGCAGCACCGTGCACTGCTTTGGAACTCCTTTTGACTAATAAGGTCGACTCTTTAGTGTTCGGTGTCCTCCCCCCCCCTCCCCCCTTTTGTGTCGCCTGGGGTGTCTGACGGAAGGGGTCGTTTAAGGACCGAGCTCCGGCTGTACCTCTGGCGGAAGTGGCTTCTTTCCTGGGTGTGTGGCTAAAGGCGCATGTCAACTTCGGAGACTTACATGACTCCGCGAGAAACCGTTGTGGAATCTTCCGTGACACCACTGCCATCACTCCAGGATAAGCTATTGTGAAATCTCCTGCTACGCGAGGTTTTTCTCACGGTGATTGTGTGCGTCGTCGTGAGAGTCGGTGGAAGCAAACAGAAATATTCGGTTTCCAAGCCTATGGTTGGGCACAGAATCCTTATTCGATGAACTGTCTCCTAGGAGAGCTTAAGTCCAATCGCGTTTTGGAACTCTTTATTCTGCAACGGTTGCGTATGCTTTTTATTTGTTAACAGGAAGAATCTCTCAAAAGAATCGAACCGTCTTGGCGAAGGCGTTATGAACTGGCAGGGTGACTTGTGCGTCTCCCTCACGGTGAGAGCGAACTTGTGCGTCTCCCTCACGATGAGAGCGAACTTGTGCGTCTCCCTCACGATGAGAGCGAACTTGTGCGTCTCCCTCACGATGAGAGTTAATGAAGTCCTTCCCACTGTGGAAAAACACTAAGAATGAAATGGTAATCTTGGGGAAAAGGGTTGGTGACCCTTCCCGGAAAGTAAACAGAAGTAGTCGGTGTAGTATACTACATATGCGAGAAGTGCCTGAATCAGCAGAAGAGATGCCCGAGTTTCTTGTCGAAATCCCGACAAAGAAAAACACGTTTTCCTGCCCTCCAAGTAAATCTTATAAGCCCGTACTCGCCAATTAAGATTCGACCTTCGCATTAGCGCCGAGCTTCGCATTAGGGCCTTCTCTTCGATCGCAGTCCCACGAGTAATGGAAAGTGGAGAAACGAAACATTCGAAAACCTTAACAGCACTAGATACAATTGGAGTTGAGTTTTCGACCTAGTGTAGCCATGGTAATGGAAACACAGTGCTCCATAGTGCTCATGATTTGGATCGAGAGCGTGGTAGCAGGAACACAGCTGCCTTGTTGTGGGACCGGGGCCAGAGAAGGCCAGAAAGGGCAAGAAACAAGACCCAGTTGCATATGGCATTAGGTGAAGGAGCGAATTTCAGAACTCGGTAGTCTTATTTAGGCCACGTATGGATCACTAACGAGTCAGTGTACTGAACTAAGTGCGGATGTTAGGGTTGACTGATAGAACCCAAGGCCAGCGCTTGTAATTGATGTAGCAACGTAAGAGGAAATCTCGGTCACACGGTCAGCCAGTAAGGGAGAAAGTAGAGGTAGGCAACCTTGGCCAGAAGGAAGCACGCTGGTACTGATCTCCGACCAAGAAGAAGCGAGTACTGAGGAAGTATAGGTAGAGAATCTTGGGCAGAAGGTAGCCCGCTCTAGAAGAAGCAAACGCTGTGCACGAGAGAAGCGAGTAGTGTGCCGTTCAAGGTGTGCTTGTACTAAACCACGTTGTAGAACACGCGAGCCCTGTCGCAGGGAGAAGTGTGGGGAGACAGATTCCGATCTCAGCGCCTACCAGCCGTCGTACCGCAGGAGGAAGTCATTATGCTGGCAAACTAGTTGAGTAACTAGGCACGGAATCTTGTGTAGAAGCAAGTAGGAGACAGCTCTCTCTCTCTCTGTGTACCCATCTCTCTCTCTGTGTACCCATCTCTCTCTCTCTCTGTGTACCCATCTCTCTCTCTCTCTCTGTGTACCCATCTCTCTCTCTCTCTGTACATTCCGGTCTAGAAGCAAGCTCTGTGCAACGAGAAGTCGTGTGCGGAACTTGAGTACGGTGCGCCGTCTCATAACCAATTTCGATGGGCTTTCAATTCAATCAAAGCCTAGCAAACGTCACTCCCATTGCGCAATGTGGCTTAAAGCATCCAACTCACCCAATTGGGACCAACTCGATGGGGACCGCAGCATGTTGGAAAAGAGCGGAAAAGGCTCGCGAGCTATTCGGTCTATGGTGAAGTTCATGGTGGTTGAGTTGGAGACAGTCGAATTGTTTGTAAACAGTTGAAAAAATCGCATGCGTTGAAGGTGTGACGTGAGGGCAAAAAAGAACCCCTCTGTACTACCGTCCTCCGTAAACACGGGCACCCTGATAACGACTGTAATACAATCGATTCTCGCCGTGTTTTTGGAGAAGATAGTAGCTTTCTCGAGGAAGCTTTCTCTTCTCCAGGGGGTGCGTTGTGTTCGAAAGAAGACGGTAGATTTCGCACGGAAGTAAAACTGTGTGCGTCGACCCGTGTCCCCGAACCTCGCAGGCCATAAATTGCCTGTTTTTCCGGAGGGTGCGTTGTGTTCGAGAACACGGGGTCGACGGACCAATTGCTTGCTGTCCGTCTTATTGAAAGCATACGCACTACGCTGTTAGAAAGCTTCTGGCGGCGGACAGCTTTTTACTTCCTTGAGAAAGTTGGGACACAGATTGTTTGCTTTCACGTCACAGCTGCTTCGCTGGCGAACAAGATTTGTTTGCGACGTTTGTACACAGGAGGTTGTTCGCTTTCACACGTTAGCTTCTTCGCTGCTTCTTCTCTGTCGAACAAGATTTTTCACTTGCTTCCGAAGAGCTTGGCTGTTTCCACCCACCCACTCAAACCAGTTCCCCCATATGATTTCTTGCTGCACAGGGCTTGCTCTTGGATCGGATGTTGATATACACACAAGCCTGCTTGGTTCCATGCCTGGTTACTTGCTGCACAGAGGCTTCCATGCCTGGTTACTTGTTGGTTTGCCACAACGTAATGATTGCCTCGTACACGACGACAACGGCTTGGCAGAAAGAGCATCCGGCGAACAATCCGAGATAGACGGATGTTGAAGTAATCTGCTCTGGAATACCTACTTTTTTTCATCTCGGATTCTATTTCCCGACAATAATTATCCTCCCTGCGACAGGGCTCGCTTCTTGTGAAGTTATTTCAAGCGCGCCGAGTGAAGGCTTTTACATAGAGTATTACTGAAGAACCCGGCGGGCGGAAAGCGATTTGAGACATGATGTTTAGGGCACGAACAGCCAGTCGAGAATTAGACCTTGCATTTAATTTTTCCATGCCGGGGATGTAGTTCTGCAATGATAGATCAGGAAGCCTCTGATCGAAGAGTGAAGACGAGGGGAGGGGCATAGGGCAGGACTTGTGAAAAAGGACGTGAAGCCGAGGTGGAAGAGGGTGCCTGAGTACGCGTTGAGATTCGGTGGTGGTGTGCTGATGGTAGTCCTAGCAGTTTTTGGAAACGCCGAATGTTCGCAGATGTGAAAACGTCGAACGCCCGGAGATGTGGAAACATCGAAGGCTCGCAAGTGTGGAAACATCAAATGCGCACAGATGTGGAAAAGAACCCCGCTCCGCAGTTTGTTGTGAAAACGTCACAGGCTCGCGAATGTGGAAACATCAAATGCTCGCAGATGTCTAAGTGAACCCAGCTGCCTATCGAAGCACAACATGAGAAGGAATGAAATTATGTTGGTACGCAGAGGATAGTCGTTTTTTAACGAAGCCTAGAGTGCATTTACATGGATGGCATTCCTGATCAATGATGCTTTTAGCATCACTTTCGGTTGGCAAGAGTATGGTTGTGATAGGCGATGTGAAATAGGCGCGGTGCTAAGCACGTGCATGATGGAACTTACTAAATTTGATGATTAACCGGTCGCAGATCGAACTAGTGATCTTCTGATCGCGTAATCGGTCGATGCGGAAATCGTTGGAACTTGACTAAAGATGGAACTTGATAAATATGGAACTTACTAAAGATGGAACTTGCTAAAGATGGAAACCGGTGGCATCGCCCAGACACAGTGATTTCGTGATCGCGTAATCGCAGCGAAACAGTCGACTATCGAACGCGAAATTGAGACTAGGTAATCTGTGACATCAGGCAGAGTCACCAGTGATGTTGGGATCGTTTGATTATATCAAACCATTCGCTTTTACTAATCGCTGTGGTTGTTGTTGTACCGTAACGAATTGCCGGAGAGAACTGGACTCGTGTATCGCAAAACGGAAGTTTCCAGACGGCTTGTATTGTACCGGAATGACGACGGCGATCAGTATCAGGACCGTGCGGGTCCGCTGCGGGTTGGGGGAGGTTGCCGAGTGTGGACGGCAGGCTGCGCAGAATGGTGTAGAGGTCGCGGGCAATCAGCAGGAGGCTGCGGACCATAGGCGGTGGAGGCTGCGCATATGGGCAGGGGGCAGTGGTAAGAATGGCTGGACAATTAGCAGGAAGGTGCGGACCATAGGCGGCGGGGCAAGCGGCGCATATGGGCAGGGGGAAGTGGTAAGAATGGCTGGAGAATTGCCAATTTGAGGATGGCGGAAGGTATTGACAAGGATGACGTGAGGCTGCGGACTATGAACAGGAGGCATTGCAGAAGAGGGGTTGATAAGATCGAGGGTATACGTGGGTAACACGGGTGAAAGTTTCGCCAAAAGTTTTTTTGAATCGAATTTGTAATCGCAGTAGACTTATGCGAGAGGTCCTCAGAGAGTAGGTTGTGACAGTGACAGAATGCCGGGTCAGCTCTGGGCCGTGGGACTTTGGGGCCGTGTGGGTCCACTTGTGGTGCCTGCCTGGTACGGCGGTAATGACGCGGCGGTCGTAGCCGTGATGCCTGGTAGGGCAGTATGACACATGGTTGTAGAGGGGAGTGATGGGAAGGAAGTTTTGTTGTGCTCGCAGTGGAAAAGGGAGAGGGTTAGTGGCGTTGTAATCCCGCTTGCTTGGTCATGATAGCAATGGTCCCCTGCCTCGTATTCCACGAACAGAGGCACTAATGTGGCTGTCTGACCGGATATGGACTCGATAAGAGAGAGAGAGAGAGAGATTCTTTCAGAAGATTGTCCTAGCGTCTTGGATATTATCAGTGCCACGGGCAGATGATTGTATCGCAGCGTCTGTACGCGTCCAAGAAGATGTGAGAAGTGAATTCGATAGAGGCGCGATAGAGAAGCCCCGTGCAGAGGCACTAATGTGGCTGTCTGACCGGATATGGCTGCTGTAAAGCTTTCTTAATTTAGCGATTGGATGAGGCGCGATAGAGAAGCCCCGTGCAGAGGAGAGCGGCTCAAGCTTTCCTAATTTAGCGATTCGATAAGGCGACCTCTAATTGGAGGGCATGCTGGGGTCTCCGAGATCGTCTTTTTTAACGCTGGATAGGTCCGAATATGAGGCATTCGTTTTATTTGGTCTGACCGAGGAAGAATAATTACAACGCGCTTACTTATGATTGTGTTGATCGTGTTCCGTGAAAGATCCGTGGACAGGTGTCTGGTGATATACAAGAGGACCCATCAATCTTGTCTTGTCTATTTTGAACACCACTCTGCAAAAGTGACAGGATGCATGCTCTCTAGGAAGTAATGTTTCGCTTTGATGCTCTGGCATTATCATCTCTGCATAAGTGACTTTGGATTGGTTCCTCTCTTTTTATTTTTGGTCGGTTGTCGCATTTTATGCCTCGTTGCTGCCAACTATTCTCTCTGCTTGAATGCGTGAGAACGTAAATGTGTGATCGGGAATTATGATGTTTGCGAGGCACTGCTGGTTGTTAGCTTCTTGTCTGTGAAGATTGCTTCTCCTTTTTTGATTGGTTGGTTCATCTTTCAAGCTTGTTGCTTCCAAGTGTCCTCTGCTGGAAATGTGGGAACTTCATTCAATGTGCAATCGGAAAATGATGTTTGCAAGTCTCTTGTAGTCAGTTTTTTTAAACATTTGTTGCGGTTTTGTTGTTGTGGTGTGCTTTTGTGGCGCGACATTACGAAATCGGACCCATCTTTGGATGTCGACGAATTGTTATTGTCTTGGATCCATCTTTGGCTGTCGATGAATGGACGTTTTGTCTCGGTCTTCGGCAATTGCGTGGGGTATCTGTTGCTGCGGCGCAATTCATGTCGATATGTCGAACCTGGAAATGTTTGGCTGTGGTCTTGGACGTCTCTGTATGTATTACGATGACGGTCGTCCGCTGGGCACTTCGTTAAATGTCGGTAATACTTCTTTTTGATCGATCTTCCGTTGGCTGGCTCTCGGGTCGTCGATCCCACAATCGGAGCGGTTCTGTGACGATTTCACTGTATAGAGGATTTCAGAAAATATTTCGAGCAGTTTGGAACCATCACGGATGTCGTGGTCATGTATGACCACGCGACTCAAAGGCCCCGCGGTTTTGGCTTCATAACATTCGATTCTGAACAGGCTGTCGATAAAGTCTTGCAGAAGGCTTTCCATGAGTTGAACGATAAGACGGTGAGTTCGTTTGAGCAGCCTATCACCTGCTTTTCTTTTTCTTTCGTTGCGTAAAAATGTGCTTCGTTGGTTTGGGGGGGCCACAGAGAGAGAGAGAGAGAGAGAGAGAGCGTTTTCCGTCGGAGTACCTCCTGTCCCTGGTTGTGAAGAGGGGTTTGGTGCTCTTGTGCTTGTTTGGAAGAGCGAGTGAAATGTGCGTGCGAGTTATTCGTGTCCCCTGTCGTGGAGAGTGGTTTGGTGTTTGTACTGGTTTGTGGGAGACGGGGGGGGGGGCGGGGGGAGCGCCGGGGCGGTACAGAGTTTTGCGTGGGAGTATCTCGTGTCCCTTGTGGTGTTTGTGCTTGTTCGAGATTTTAAGTTCTCTCCGCCTTTGCCTTTGCCTGCGGGGGAGAGTTCCTTAGTTGGCAAGTCTTCTGCCATGGGCGCTGGAATCACGGTTGCAATTGGAAGAAGAGCTATCCGTATGCACTGGAATCGATGTTGATATCGGTTTTTGAGTGATTGGAAGAAGAGCTGCACTGGAATCGAAGTCTATAGTGGTTTTTGAGTGATTGGAAGAAAAGCTGAAATGCTGCACTGGAATCGAAGTCTATAGTGGTTTTTGAGTGATTGGAAGGAAAGCTGCTGAGGAGAGCTTCAGTTCCTGTACCGCTATACTACTTGCGCATACTGATGCACTTTGCTAGGAGGGTGTCTGTGTCCTCGTCAATAATGATGATAAAAGGCCCAAGGGTTGCATGTTGATGGTTCGTGGTCTTAAGCTCAATTCTGTTGTGACTGTACGGTTCTGGCGCGTGACAAGATGTGCACATGGAAGGTTCTGCAAACTGTGTGTTAGATATATTGATCTTGTTTCTATGCCTCAACGATGTGCTGTTTTTGTTTGGGTGCCTAGTGATTGAAAAGTAATGTGGCTGCAGAGGTTCTTCTTAATGCATCCTGAAGTCCATATGTTAGTGAATCTTGGGAAGGAAAAAAAGGACTGCTTATAGAAGACCTGTGTCTGTGTTCTTGCTTGCTTGGTTGAGCGCTCTATACTCCATATGTTAGTATAGGCTATTCCCGGGTCGTTTGAAGGCTCTTGTCTTCAGTTGCTGTTATGTATCGAACGGTGAATTTGCATGTTAATTGATGGTTTATTTAGGACAGTGCCGGAAGCATCGTGTTTGGACGATTCCTCCCTGGTACTCCTATATTACGCGTGCACATATTTGCACGCTTGACCCGTTTTCTCTCGAATGGAATGCACGGTCGTTTTGGCTGTCTAGTACCTGTATCTGGGGCAGGTTGTAGTCTAGTCGGTAGTCGATGAACGCCTGCGAATATATTCCAGTATGAGCATGATGTCAGGGAACTAAAGGGAACCTTGTGGGGCAGGTTTTAGGCTGGACGGTAGTCGATATGTCGAGAACTCCTAGCAGACGTATGAACGTCAGCGAATCAGATTCTGATCTAGTCCAGTATTAGCATGATGTCAGGAAGTGGAATCCTCATTGGGCCCGGTATACCCCTGTGATATGTTGTGTTTGTTGGTGTGAATGAGCTCCTAATCAAGAAATTGTGACCTGATATGTGCGGCCGAACCCATGTGCGGCCGAACCGTATGGACCGTTCACATCGAACCTCGTAATATGGGTAGGTTTTCGGGTATGATGTACGGCGAATTGGTAATCAAGATTAAAAAAAACAAGATACCGTGACCTGATATATGAACGACCAAACCTTATGGACCGCTCGAATTGAACCTCGTAATAGGGCGAGGATTTTCTCGAGTGATGTCTGGCGAATTTATGGATGATCAGCCACCATTAAGCGGTCTGGAATGTGGAATCGTTTTTACTTTTGTTACTGTTTCTGGCTGATTACATGTGACGGATGGGAAAAAGGAAAAAAAAAAGAAAGACATGTGACAGATGGTGAGAGTGTGACTGATTGAATGTGTTTTGTCACTGGTCTTGTGCTGACGCAGGTGGAGGTGAAGCGGGCTGTTCCGAAGGAGCTGACCCCGACTGGTGGCGGTGGAGGTCGTGGATATGGAGGTGGCAGAGGTGGCTATGGATCTGGTGGTGGATATGGTGGGGGGTATGGACAGGGGCAAGGAGGCTACGGAGGTGGGCGGGGTGAGCGGGGCTATGGTGGCCCTAGCCCGCCTCCTGGAGGGCGTGGTGGATATGGTGGTGGATATGGTGGTGGCTATGGTGGGAACGGTGGTTATGGGGGCAATGGAGGGGGGTATGGAGGCAACGGTGGTGGGTATGGTGCTCAGGGAGGTGGTTATGGTGGACAGCAAGGAGGCTATGGTGGTGGAGGTGCTAACGGAGCTGTGGGCGGTGCAGGGTATGGTGGTGCAGGATATGCTGGAGGTGGATATGGTGCGGGTGCAGGTGGAGGCTATGGCGGTGGTGGGTATGGGACGGGGGTTGCTCCAGGTGGATACGGTGGTGCTGCCAGTGGCTACGGTGGGCAAAGTGGTGGATATGGTGGTGCGGCGGCGGGTTCTACTGCTGCTGCTGGTAACGTGAGAAGCGGCTGGGGCGGGAGCGCAGGTGGAGGTGCTGGTTATGGAGGGACAGGTAGTCCTGGGGCTTATCCTGCTGCGAGTGGAGGGGGTCCGGCTCCTTATGGCAGCTCAGCACAGGGTTGGGGCTCGGGAAGTGGTGGTCCTGCTTCTTCTGCTCCTGCGGGTGCAGGATATGGTGGTGGGTATGGTGGTAGTGAAGCTGGATATGGCTCAGCCGGGGCACCGGCATCTGCCGGAGGTTACAGCGGTGGCAGTCGAACTAGCGGTGGTGCTTACGGTACCGGAGGTAGGTCCTTTCTCTCTCTCTCTCTGCTGTCTTGTTTGATTTTCTCTGCAGTTCTGGTTGTGTACTGTCGTTTTTGCTCTCCTCCTTGTCTGCCTTTTGATTTGATCTGTTGATTGCCCTTGAGCTGTCTTCTGGTGGTTGCCGGCTTTGGAGTGCAATTTGATAATACCAGCTTTGGACCGGAACTTGTTCTTTCCGGATTTGCATTCAAGTTCTTGACTGCACTTTTTTTTTTTTTCTTAAGTTGGTAATGCTTATTATCTAAATGGTCTGACAATCGAAAAAAAATTATTGTGGCAATTAAGGTATGTCCCCGTTTCTCAAGAGTGGGGGTACGTTGTTGGGCGATGCTGAGGGCTGATGGGGACTGCATGACCTCGTGTGCGATTTTGAAGTTTAAACCACCAGTCAAGACGGCCTGTCACTGTAGATTTTTTGCGGACCAAGTCCCGCAGCATAATCTACACTGATCAGGCATGGTGCAGGTTCGCAGGGAAAATGGCTCGAAATCGGTAACAAAAATGAACAAGGCGAAACTGGGCTGGGCAGAACGCCCAAAGACGCCCTGCCTACTGTAGTCTTGGGGGAAAAGACCACGGAAAGCGAATATAGATTTGAACGTAATAGAGGTCAGATGCATTCTGGAAAGTACTGCCGTGAGAGCGAGGGCCATTCTCGAGAATGTATGATAGGAGGAAAGGAACAAAATAAAAAGGAACAGGAATCTGTCCTTGACAGCAGTCAGGTACGTATTGGTAAGTACTACCGTCTTCACCCGAATACAACGCCGGGTCATTATAGCTGTATTTGGCACAACTTTCAGCCCAGATACGGCGATAATTACCGGGCGTTCTATTCGGGTGAAGACGATAGTGTGTGCACGTCCTCAGTGAAGCCTTAAAGAAACAAGTATCCGCCCTTGATAGCGGTCAGGTACATATTGGAAACCACTAGTGTTGCGTACACACCCTCAGTGAGGGCTTTCGCGTTGGCAGTGCACTTCGAATTAGAGGAAAAAAGAAGGAAACCAACAATGATACAGAATGTGGCGCAATAGTGGTTGGATACATTATTCTGGAAGGTGCTCACGTGAGTATGCCCTCCGTCAGGGCCTTCCCCGACATCTCTTTGGAATTTGGTTCGTTGCTGAATGTACACAAGCGGTATTCCTGGTTTGGTGCATCAACAATGAAAAGCAGGAGAAGCTGTTTTTTTCCCCCTTCCTTTCTTTTGCCTTTTTTTTATGAAGGAAAGTGCATTTGTTATCATTGATCGCGATTTACTTTCTTTTCTCCCCTCATCTTTTGGTGCCATCTGCTGACACGAGAGACGGCACTTGAGTTTCGAACTAGTCTGGTATCGAAATCCCAAGATTTGTTTTTCTTTATTGCATCAGACAGGCTCAGGAAAGTGTGCACGCATGTAATGATGAAGTCTTGCACCACGCAATTCAGAAAATGCTCTTGCTATTGGGAACTCACGTGGTGTGTAGCATGGTAGAGCGCGTTTTTGCCATGAGAGGGACCTCGTGTATCTCTTGCTTTTCCTCGTTGGAAGCAGGTTTTCGATTTGTAACATGGACAGGTCATGGTGCTGGTCATTTTCTATGGATGATGTGCATGGATTTGACAGTGGGTTGCTTTGTGCATGCAGGTGCAGGTGCTGCGTACTCACAGGCAAGTGGCGGCGGAGGGGGAAGTGGTTATGGTAGCTATGGAGAAGTGTACGGTGGAGGTGCAGGATATGGCGGAAGTGGTGGTGGTGGATATGCTGGGAGTGGTGGTGAGCAGGGATCATGGAGTCGATCGGGGGAGTATGCAGCAGGAGGAAACACTCCAACAAGTGCTGGTGCGAGCGCCGGCGGAGGAGCCGCAGCTGGATACGGGCCTAGTGGAGTTCCTGCTGACAATGGAGGTGCAAGCGGTGGATACGCTGGTGGCTATGGGCGCCAGCAAACGCAGAGAGCACCCGATGCACGATTCAGGCCCTACCCCGCGACCGGAGAGAGGGCGTAGGCGAAATGTTGAAGACATTCTAGCGTCTCTTGGTTCTTTTTCTTTAAAAACCCTTTGCCGTTGGTCCTCTCCGGCCCTTCAATTTTTAGTAGTATGTTTACAGGATGCGTGATTCGAGCGATTGAGAATTGAGTGTGGGGACTGAAACGCAGTACTATGAGGAATGTGTCTGCAGTAGCAAGATTTCAGCAATGCGACTCCAATAGGCAGCAGGAGCAGCGGCGGCGGCGACGGAGTAGGATTCAGGATGAGCGATTCTTAGAATCTGTAGGCTGAGGGCCCTCTGCGAAATTAGGATAGAATAGGCCTTATAGCTTTAGGAGTGAGTCTTAACAGGGGGAACTAGCATGCTAATCTAGTTTCGGCGGTACGGAATGAGGCAGGTGATGGTGGCCTTTGCATGGGGCCCTTCCTCCTGTCTGCTTACCTCTAGCGTTGCGGTTGCCGCTTTGGAATGCTTGTAATATTTTGACACCAAACTCTCTCTACAGTTAAGACCCTTCATTGTAGGGTGTAAGGGGTATGATGATGGTTGTCTGGATGGGTTTGTTGGTGATCAGCCAGCAAGAAGGAAATGATGAGTTGTCGTTTGTCGACTCATCTTGCATTCGCTGTTCGGATCATCGGGAGGGGGTGCGGGTGGGTGTGTATGAATGGCTGGCAAAGGGAAGGGTTTGGCGGATGGGTGGCGAGGCCGAAGAGACGTGAGGGGTTTCTCGTGTATCATCGAGGTGTGTGTACAATCCATGTTGTCCATTTCTCTATGTTTTGGCTTCTCATGGAATTGTGTTTGTCTGACGGGAATCGCTGTTATGGTGTTTGTTTGGAAAGTGTATGTTTTCAACGGGATGTTTTGAATGCATCTGATGGCGAGGGAGGATTGGTACCGAGGGGGAAATGCTATATGTATGCATGCTGAAATGAAATGCTCGGAATCGCTTTGGGAAGTGTGCATTACGACCCTGCTGTCTGAACGAGTATACCCATGCCGTAGGGTTTTGGATGCATTGTTTCTGAACGGACCACGTCGTCGAGTGGATCTATTGTGTGTAGTACTCTAACGACGTCGTTTAGGCAGTTTCAACGTGGTGGGGAATGTGTTTGCTGCGTAAAACAGGGTGCTAGGGGAAACAAAACTGCTGCTGCTCAACGGGTGTGCATGGAGGTGCGCACATTAAAGGAAGGGAGAAGCCTCACCAGACCGTGTAATCTGAAAATCAGTTGCACCGCAGACAGGTTGTAGGTGGAGGACCAGTTACATTGCAGTACGTACACAAGTGTCTTTGCATGATGGGGGAATATCGCCTGTGATTAAGTTCTGGTGAGTGGTATAGCCCATGTTCCTTGGTTAGGTGTTATGTGGAGGGTTATCAGGTTGGGTGTTGTGTGGAAGACCGTCGGCTGGCTGTGGCTGTATCGGAAAAATCCCATGCTGTAACTTGTGACACACACAAAATCACTGAAAAACTGCCTACTATAACTGTAGTAGTGCCTGAATGATGGAAAAGGTGGGCTTGAACCTGTATGTTAACCCAAAATGTTCTTTCCTGGGTTGTGGGTGTGAGATTGTTGTGGTATCATGCACGATGTAGTGTGCTCGTAGAGGGTTTGCAGTCTTGAAAGTGGAAGTCCTGTTGTGTTGTGTGTAATGTAATGGCTGGACTAAGTTAATGCGCGCTGTAAAGGCGAAGTGAGCAGAGCATTGAATCTTCGAAGTGCTGAAGGCCTTAGCAGAGGTAAACGAAGAACGGGCACTCGTGTGCATGTAGTTCGATTGGATCGACGACGCACCTGTGCATGTAGTCCGCTTGGATTGACGAGGACTGCTGGCGGATGTCGGACGTGTCGATATGTGAAACCGTGAAGAAAGAAGTCGGTCGTGGTTTCTCACATTGACACACCGGAAAGAACGAACTTTTCTTCTTTCGTTGCGGAGGTGAGAACTGTGTTGGCAGTTGAATGCGCTCGTGCGTCAGGAGTCTGACCACAACCTTCTCCTGGATATGACATACGAACGATCTTGTAGCTGTATATCAAGACTGAAAGATGCCCCAACTGCAGCTATAATTACAGTATGACGTACGCTGTATTGGGGGGAAGAAGGAAGTACTGTTGCCAGCATAAGGGAGAGGAGATGATGCGAAGGATTGTGTTTCGTTGTGTGGGACTCGCAATGTCTGTTTGTTTTCCACTCGTTTTGCACAACAGTACGCAAAGGATTGTTGTTTCGTTCAGTGTGTGACTCACGATGTCTATTGTTTTCCCTGTTTCGCACAACAGTGCGCTCTTCTGTTTGTGGGGATATGCCCACGTTTCCTTGAGGGGTGTTCTTGTACGGTTGATTTGTGCGCGTTTGAGCCCAAATCTGGGGGCAGTTTCAAAAATAGGAAATGAAAAACGTCTGGGGATTTGTGTATGGAAAACGTGCCTGGTGGACGTTTCAGACGGAAACGAAAAAGAATCTGGGGATTTTGTTTTTATGAAAAAAAGTACCTCGTTGTGATAAAGCACAGATCGAAACTGTTACGAAGGGGGGATGCAGGGAATACTCGGAATACAGTCCAGCGAAAGACTCAAGTAATGAAACAGATACTCGAATGTTTTATTCAAGTAAGGGCCCCTCTCTAGGGGATGTCTAGGCATGCACGATACAAACCTTTTCAACCATCAGCATGCCTTTCATGCTGTGCTGACAACAACAACAACAACAACAAGGGGGAAAAAAAAAGATTGCTCTTCTGTGATTGACAATATGGCCCCTGCCGACTTCGGTGAAAAAAAATCGAAACGTTTTCTGCAGTTATTGACGACCCTCGCGGGCCCGAGGAGAAAGTGAAAGAGTAGAGTAGAGTGTAAAAAGAGAGCGGTGTGTTACCTCAGGCACGTACCCCTACGGACATCAGCAGACTTTGCTTGATGCGGATTGGGGGGCGGGGCCCAACGGGGTGCTAACGCCCCTACCTATTGGTGGCCTGATGACGAAGGGATCTCATCTTTTTTTGTTTTTGGGTGATCGTTGCTACGAGGAAGCGGGAACTCTTGTGAAATTAACCAGCTGAGTCCCTTCTTCCCCCCAAGTAGAAAATGCGGTCGTCTTAGCTGTTTTTGAGCCATCTTTCAGTCTTGATACAGTAGCATCTTTCAGTCTTGATACAGCAGCCAGCTATAATGACTGACTGCACATTGTATTTGGGGGGGACTAAGGTACCCCCCACTGACACCAGGTGATGACATCGCAGGGCATCTGTCGCTTGAAACGAAATAGAAAAAAAACGGTGGTTGAAAAAACAAAAAGAAGGGTTTGAAAAGAGCGATTGCTGCTGGGACATACTTACATGCCTCGTTTAAAGTTTAAACGGCTAGTACACGTCACCAGGCTTGCAGAAAGTTTTTGGCGCCCCAAGCAAAGCAGAACTTGCAGGCGCCGTGCAGCCATTGGCACAGTTGAGAAGGAAAAAAAGTCGGCAGCCTCCGAAGTTGTGCGGGGGTTGTATGCTGACACCCGCAGGCTGATGTGTGGTGTACTGGTCCTCCAGGGCAAGGGAAATTTTAGGTGCGATCATTTTTGCATTGGTCCAGGGCAAGGGACTAAGGAGTAGATGCTTGTGCCTCAGCATAATCTATTTTATCTGAGAACACATGCAAAGATGTTTGACCATATTTTCTGCATTCAGTCTTTTAGCAATCTCTGCACCATTGTTTCGACCTGAACAACTAATGTGAATAATCTGTGCACAGGGGGGCAAGGGAAATCTGTGCACAGGGGTCCATTAGGCAAGTGGTAGGTTGGATATTCAGTGATTGCTCTGTAAAGCAGCGTCCACTGCCTTTCGTGTGCGGAGGCCTTGTTGGCCTCAGATTTTTTGAAAGTGGCAGTGTGGGTCCATGGGGACATCCTGTGCCTGGTGTTTTCTATAATCAACGGTTCAACCAATGACAGTGAGATATGTTATGTTTTCTTTTTTGATATGGTGAGACCTCTTGTACGTGGTGGTTAAACCAACACGACCCCAGGGGCCAGGGGGTCTTAGGACCCCTCTCTGGGGAGGCTCTGAGGCAAATGCATATGGACACGCGCGGCGCACCGATTTGGCCACCGCGTTAACGGCCTAAAAACGTGGAGGTGCTGGTGGGAAGGGCGTTTTCCTTTTCTTCTTTTTTTCTTTTTTTCTTTCTGTGAACAGCATTTGGGGCATATTTCGCGATTCAGGCAAGGCATCTTTGCTCAGTGGCCACTTGAAAAGGTCTCACTCTGGCGGTGAGGCTGAAACCGGCAGGGACGATCGCCAGGAGACCTGTGTTAACGCTATTTTTTTCAAGAAAAGGTCTCGTTTGCGCTCTCTCTTGTCTCCTTCTTACTCTTCCTTCTGTGCTTTACATTGCTCTCTCTCTCTCTCTCTGTGTACCCAACTAACACACCCTTTCGGTCTCTCTGTATACCCAACTAAGGGTCTCGCTCGACTACTGTCCGCTGTACGAGTTCGTATAGCTGGATATCGCTCCACTTACTATACGAAACGTACCTTAAAAACTCAGTGTATAGTTGTCACATGGCACCCTCCAGATTCACCATACGATTCTGTGTAGTTCCCAGCTATACGGCAAACACAAAAGCTGTTATTGGGAGGGAGGGTGGTCGAAGGCGAACGTGAAATCGGATTGTCCGCCTGGAGTCTGGACTGACCGAAAAATTGCTGTCTTCTAATGCATTAAGGGTGTTTTGTAGTGAACTCAGGAATTGGAGACTTGTATAGCAGATAGTAAGTGGAGCGACGCCGGCTTTTATACTTCTTTTTATCCGCGCTCTGACAGCTGTTCGGCGACTTTACGAAATTCTGTATATCGGACAGTTGTGCAGCGAGACCCATTGGCCTCCTTTTTTTTTCCGGTCTATTGCAACCCCATCGAGTACTTCATTTTTTACTCAGAATACAAGAATGTGCACGCTTCAGTATGGTGTTTCCACATGCACTGCCAAACGAGAAGTGCTGTGAAAAAGAAAAAGCAAAAACAAAGATGTACCCGCCACTTGGAGGGCAGACGGAAAGAAAACGCCCTACAGGCTCCCCGAGGAGATTGTTCCACTACTTTCCAAATGTGCAAAATGAGACTGAATCCTCCTAAAGAACATGGACAGGTTCATCTGGTCATAACTGTATTGTAGCTGAGGGATCGGTTGGTTGTCAGAGCTCAGCCACTCACGGCAGGCCTGGAGAGGAAGCAGGAGTACATCTCAGTACTTCATAGGTAGCCCTGCCAGTGGCGGCACTCTCTTCTCACAATTACATGTCAGATCATTCAATTAATTTCAATGTTAAGGGACGCTGGACCCGCTTTCCAGCTGCTCCCCACCAATAGATGGAGCCTCCCCGGGAATGGTAGCGGTGTCTGCTCCTAGCAGCACGGAGGGTCGCGGCGAACTCGCCGCCCCTCTCTCTCTCTCTCTCTCTCTCTCTCTCTCTCTCTCTCTGCGACTTTCAAATCGCAAAGTGAGAACGAATCTTCCCGCGAAAGTGGGAAGATTCATTCCCGCTTTGCCTTTCGGAAGCCTTCCTACAGCTGGCAGCGGGAATGAACCATTTATTTTTCTTATTTCTTTGTTTTTTTTCTTTGTTTTCTTCCCCTTTTTTTCGTCTGTCGCACATGGACGTTCGGGATGTCTGCGCCCGGTAGTCCGAGCCTCGGCACGGATCGGCGTACCCGTCGGCCGAGGCTAGGACTTGATAGCTGAGCGAGGTACTGGTGGTTTAAAGAAGTACGCTTCTCCCTAAATTAGAAAAAAATAAAAATAAAATAATTGCATAATTTGTTCATTATTCAATACAGACCATGCACTGGTATGCAGTCTTATGAATTCCATAGCCCTCATTTTATCTTTTTTTTTGGTACAAAGAAGAGATTTAGGTTCAGTCCCCGTTGGCCTCATGTACCTTCCTGGGCTTGCTTGGCCCCCCCCGCCTAGAGATAGCCCGTTGGTCCCCCCAATTGGCACTACTGGTATGGCTCTCTTTGCTGAGGGTCGCGATCTGCGCTTTCTGTTGGAGGATCGGCTCGGCTTGCATCCGAGGCAGTATCAATACCAACAACTTCATCCACAACGCTACTCTCCACATCAGGAATATTACCAGTTGGGGTGAGGGCAGCAGCGGCGACAAGAACAACAGCAATAACCACTACGACAACAACGACAACAACGACGACGACACACGATACGACAATGGTGATATCACCACGGATGAAGATGGGAACATCAATCACCGCGGCCGGCATAATTCCAGTGACGGGGGCGGAGACGACAACGACGGAGGTTACGCAACTATTGATTGACGGTGGTATGTCCCATTACACAGGCGTGGGCCGTGGGTTCGGCGCATCGACTTTTCCCTCCCTTTGATGGGGGTCCGTTTATGCATATCAGGTCTCTTGCCATCCGGCGCGTAGGAGTAGGTTACATAGTGAGGAAGGGGTTGAAGGGGGGAATTGCCGGCTCTGATTCCTCATTACCGTGATGTCTGATTGGTTTGATAGGTTGGCGGTTACGATTGTTTTTTTTTTTTTTTTTTTTTTTTTTTTTTTTTTTTTTTTTTTTTTTTTTAAGATCATCACCCGCGGAATAAAGCACACTTAAAAAGTTGCAGTCTTTGGGTTTAACAAAGACATCGGTTACGATTGTTGGAGGCTAATCCTTTTCCTATTTTTAGGTCAAGTAATTAAAATGCCTCCAGCTTAGCAGGAGGTCGGATGTATATAATGACCACGGGTTTTTGGCATGAAAATATTAACGAAAATTGACACGTGGCAGGGCCCTGTCATACTACAGTTTCATACAGTTCTTTTTTGGACATGGTAGGCTCTGTCGAGTAGTAGATAGTAGGATAATCCATCTACAATGGCCATGGGGCCTATTCACAACATTTTGTCATGTTAATCAATTCAATTCAATTTTGCTTTGAAACAGTAGGAGATATAGTAGGCTCTCTGAGCAGTGGAT